GAGGAATCAAGGGGTTTGGTTTTGACCATGTACCTCCAAACAAGGCCAGGTATCTGATTTCATGGCCCTGACTGGCCCCCAAACACAGGAAGAAATACATTGTTATCACACTACACATTTCACTAATGATCATGCATCTTTCAGTAGCAAGTGGATACAAATATCATACAATGTTTGGTTGGAAGGTTCATTGACAGTCAAGTTCAACTCAGGGCCTGCCGTTCAGGCCTCAGTATTTCCCAGAAACAAGTGAAATGCAGAGAAACCATGAACATGCTTCAAGCCTCTGAGGAATTTCCAAATTCCTTTCAGGTTTCAATGCACATTTAAAGAACTGTCTTACATCCCCAGTAATTGTAGATATCCCCTTTTAGAAGTATTGTTCCCCAATCATCCAACACCTAATGACCACTCACTAGAGGCAAGTTGCAATCTATGTACAGGATACTGACTGAAGTGCAGATTTAGAAGTTAATTGAATTTCAGTCATTGAAATCTTTCATAAGGACATACTAGAAGAGCTCTTTGGCATATTTGCATTTTATGGAGACCATTTATATCCAGCATGAAGGCATAGTGCTACCTTCAAAATTACAGAAGTGTTTTTTAAGTCTTTTTTAAAATCTTCTGATTGGTGAAGTTTCCTGCCTGCTATAAGTTATAATATAAATCCTTCCATTAAATTAGCTCACTTGAAATTCCTCCAAGTATAATTTCCTACATTTCTACTACCCTATACAGTTTTGAAACTCCTGAGAACTTGAATTGCTTGTGTTTATCAGAAAGACAAATGATAGTCAGAAGCCTGATAGTAGTGTCTAGCAATCAAATATGTGAAAAAATAAAAATCCATTCCCTGTCAGCAATGGGAAAGCACTACAGTTCTTTGAAAAACTGCATGTAACGGTACTGAAAATGGCTTAGAAATGCTTAGAGTAACAAAGATAGGTTGGTAAGTTTGTATTTTCCTTAACCCTATTTTCTTCCCCATTTCTACCTCTTTGTTGCACTGATGCTGCCACTTGTGATGCTTCAGGATGAACCAAACTAGACAAGAAAATGGCATCCACATTTTCACATTAAAAAAAAATCACTTCAGCAATATCGTGTGTGTCTTCAGACAGATATGGAGTGCTCACTGGAGGAACAGGAGTTCCTCACTGGTCTTGGCTCCTAGAAGGGACAACAGTCCATGAGCTTTAACCTTTTCCTTTTACCAAAGGAGCAATGACCCATACCAACAATACCACCAGAGCCTCCTATGTCCTGATTACCAGTAATATATCAAAAGATCCCCTGGCAGATTTTGAATTCCAGTTTCCTGTACAGCACCAGTCTCCTTTCAGCAGTGCACTTTAACAGCTTAAAAAGCCAAAGATAAGCATTGCCTAATGCTAAAAACCATAATAGGTATTTTCACCATTTTTTCGTGCTTTTCTTTTTTCTTTCAAATCACCAGTAGGCTCTAAGGTTTTTCACAAGTTTTCATGGCCATGCTTAGCAAAGCACGAGCTCCTCTAGGAATCAAGAGAATTGAACTGCACCTTCTTGGCTTTCTGCTCCCTCTTTTACTCATTTTGCTGTGTCTTCACCCTGCCTTTTAAATTATGGGGTGGGGAATACTGCTCTGCATCTGACAACTGTTAATCTTCAACACAAAGAAGAAAGGCTCAACATCAAACTAACAGGTTAATTATTACAAGACCATGCAATTACAAGACACAAATGCTGTGACAGTCTCCCATCCCCAACCCATGTTGTTCATGGCTGCAGCAAATGAAACCAAACAAAAAAAAAGGCAAATAAAACAGTTGCAAAGGCTGATTTGTGTGAATTTTAGAAATATATAAAAATATTCTCCTACCAACATACCTTAGACTGCAGAAAATAAGCCAAGTCAGCAATTTGTTGGCTTCTAAAGAGTCTGTGTTTGAGGAACAGCCTCCTGCAAATCAGAGTATTTTACTGATTTACAACTATTTTTCTGAGGATTAGTGGAAAGGGGAAAGAGCAAAAAAGCATCTGTGTTTTAAATAGAAATCAGAATCATAACAATAAAAATAAAACTTCTAAAAAATCTAGCAGACCAATGAGCTGGAGAGTCTTAGCTTTTATTTAGAAGGAAACCAACACACCCCATAGCAGACTTGACATAAAGCATGCTGTAATGGTTTTTGTCTTCTGCCAAAACATCAGACAGTATATTATTTCCTGGCAAAAAAATACTGTTTAAGCTTAAACTACAAAGACAGCTGGATCCTTGAACTCTGCCTCCCAACTCACTGCAGTGAGCCACACAAACACACTGAACTAATGGGTCCTGGTAAGCATCTTGGGAACCATCGCAGTAAATTTTCCAAGACTTTCCACCTTGAGACCCAGGGGAACTTTTATGCTGGCACAGGCATCAAGAGTAAAGGATTTAATTTTGTGGACAGTAATATAAAAGCAATCATTATCACAAGTCTGTTTTCTCTGACAGGAATATCTGTTTGAATGTTTTGGGACATCATTTGGCTAGTTCAAGGGAACAGGGAGATAAGAGCTCAGTTAGGAGTTTTGATGTTTGTAACGAGTTTTACTCCCATCATTCTCCGATGAATATTTTCTCAGGAGAAAATATTTACCAGGAGTCACAAGCTGGGTTTGTTTTATTCTATTTTTAAGTCCTCCCAGGAGGCTAGTTAAGAGCACAGAAATGCCCAAAGTTACCACAGAGCTCCTAGAAAGAGTTGAGTCAGCCTCCTAAAAACTTCTAGGAAAACAACTGCCAACATTTCTATGGGCTTCTGAAACGCATCCTGAGCTCCAGCAGAAAATCTACTCATGTTCTACCTGATGCCTGCATTTTTCACTGATGCCACGGACAATCAAAGCACATCTTCCAAAGCCCAAGAAGAAAGTTGTTACACATTGATGGGTATTTGCACTTTTTTCCTCACATTTCCATCTGCCTCTGCAGATGGAATAAATAAGTTAATTCTATCAGCTACACTACTCAGACAACCCAAAGCAGAAACAGCAAGCCTCTATCTCTTTAAATATGTTTTGTTTTTTTTTTCTTTAATAGTATAAACAGTTTTATCCGTTCCACCACACGACTGCAGGTGTCCCTCTTACACATTACACAAAGCAGAGCACCGGCTCCTTACCGCACATCTTGTGGTGCCTATCTGAGAGGCTGAAGCAAAAAAATCACTAACTCTGGACTTTCATCGCAAAATTTAAACACAGGACACTCAAAACACCCAGTCTTCAACCTGACAAGTGATTACTTTCTCTTGTCAGTTTTGTTTTGGGGGGGTGGGGGGAGAGAGGGATTTCCTCGTTTATTGTTGCTTTGGGTGTTTTAGTAACCGCATCTCCCTGTATTGTCATACCCTACGGAGAAACACAGCAAGCAAACCTCTGCGTCCTTAAGGTGCTCGGGGCGGAGGATGCGTTCCGGAGCCTGCGCATCGCATTGTCCTTGTTCAGGCACTCGCAGGACCCTTGCTAATTGATGGTAATTGGTTCTGCGAGACGAGCGGCGGACGAGCTGCCGGGCCTCGCTCGCTCCGGGCCCCGCTCGCCGCCGCGGCCTCCCCGCTCCCGGCCCGGCCGCGGAAAGGCTCCGCCCGCCCGAGCCCTCGGCAGCGGGGCGGCTCCGGGGGCAGCTCCGGGCAGCGGCTCCGGGGGCAGCGGCTCCGGGGGCAGCTCCGGGCAGCGGCTCCGGGCAGCGGCTCCGGGCAGCGGCTCCGGGCAGCGGCTCCGGGGGCAGCTCCGGGCAGCGGCTCCGGGGGCAGCTCCGGGGGCAGCTCCGGGCAGCGGCTCCGGGGGCAGCTCCGGGGGCAGCTCCGGGCAGCGGCTCCGGGGGCAGCTCCGGGCAGCGGCTCCGGGCAGCGGCTCCGGGGGCAGCTCCGGGCAGCGGCTCCGGGCAGCGGCTCCGGGGGCAGCTCCGGGGGCAGCTCCGGGCGGCGGCTCCGGGCAGCGGCTCCGGGCAGCGGCTCCGGGGGCAGCTCCGGGCAGCGGCTCCGGGCAGCGGCTCCGGGCAGCGGCTCCGGGCAGCGGCTCCGGGCAGCGGCTCCGGGGGCGGCTCCGGGGGCAGCTCCGGGCGGCGGCTCCGGGCAGCCGCCGGTGCCGGCCCCGCGGCGGAGCGGAAGGGAGGAGAGGACGGCACGGCCCCCGCCGCCCCCCGCCCCGCTCGCTCGCTCCCTCCCTCCTTTCCTTCCTTCCTTCTCGCCGCCGCACGTCCTCACCGAGCGCAGCCAGCCTCTCGTCCGCAGCCCCGATGGGAGGCGGAAGGAGTCCCCGGCTCGGGGCGGCGCGTCCGTCCTGCCCGCCCGGCGCGGGTCGGGGCCGCCGGCCGAGGCGAGCGCCGTGCCCCCGCCCGCTCACCCGCGGACAGCGGCGATAGATTGAGCCTCCTGGTCCTCAGATCCCTCCAGGCTAAGCCCCTCCTCCCTGCCTCCCTTCCTGCCTTCTCAGCTCGCCGGAGAACTCCCACAGCTCCCTGCTTCGAGCGCGTCACATTTTTTTAAGAATAATAGAGCGGTCATTTCACATTCCTCCACGAACTGACGACCAATTGAGACTTCAGTTAGAAGAGATGTTATAAATATTCTGATAAAATAATCGATTTAATAACATAAAAGAGGTGATTATGATTACAAGTAGAAAATTGTGAAGTGTAAGGTATAGGAATGTCAGGAGCGCTGTGTTTAAAATATGCAGCAGAAACCTCGCCAAGAAGCTAATGGATGTCTTATGTTTTGTTCAAGAAGCTCTGGAGACCATCATGCAGAGCAGTTATGCTGCTTGGAAGCCTCCTACCCTTCCTACCTTGATTGGAATATTAGGGATTCCAATCAGTAGAGATGCCCCGATTGTCTTAGGGTAGGAATATTGATGAAGTTATTTAACTAGTGATATGTTGGTTATAATTTGTGCCAATGTAATATTGTTGTTTTTGATTTAGGGAAAGATGATTTTGTTATGATTGAACACAAGAGGCCATCTGATCCAATTAACAGAATTTATTTAATTCATTTAATAGAGTATATGAGAGCAAAGCAAAGCAGCGCTGCGGCGACAGAGGGGAGCTACCGCTCCACCAAACTGCCGCGCTTCTGGTGCCCTAGTTCGCTCTTTTTATCTTCTTCCTTAGTTCACTCGTTTCTTCTGCGCAGTCGCATTCTGTTGCTAGGTGGTCGTTTTCTGCCTCCTGGTGGTCGTGGGATGAAGGCTGGTTGTCTTCCTCACAGGTGTCCTTTGATCTGGGGATTCTCACAGTCTCAAGAATACGTGTTATCTTAGAAATGCGTGTTATCAGTTAAGCAATGCAAAGCCTATTGCCTACTACTGCTGTAAAAGCTTAGGAATGCGTGTTACCAGCAATTCACAGCCTATTGCCTATTACCGCTGTAAAAACAAACTTCCTTACATTATATCCTTGAAACAAATTACCATCTGCAGCTGCATCGAACAAATAGGTCACCCTTCTCTTACAATTTGATATGGATAATTTTATTGCAAAGAACACGCCAGCAATGAGAGCTGCCCCCACACCCTCCACCCCACCCCCACCCCCCCGACACACACACATATCTGTTACACCAAAAACCCGGTTTATTGGACAAAGCCTCATTTACAATTTAATACATGTGGCTCGCCCGGAGATCCTCCTTCGTTCTGCGAGGTGATACTGGAACCCTAAGCGTTGATCATTCCGGTAACGACCCGAGATTGGGATCGCTGGAGTTCTCCAGGCTGATACATCTGAAAGCCGCGGTTCCCGTAAGGTTCCTGTAATTCCATCAGGGAGAATCGTCTGCACCTGGACTCGGATTGTTCGGCCTCGACCTGGAGAAAAGGAACTTTATGAATATGTGGGACTTTGAATGGAAAGAAAAGGCGGATTGCCGAAATCCTAGCCTCGGGGGAAAAATTTCCTATAGGAACTGCTGGGTGCAAGAGGGTGGTGTGTGTGTCTAGGGGAACCTCTGCCGAGATCCGTCCTTCCTGTCACGCACCCAGCGCCGATCCCGGGCTTGGCACTGTACTTTCCTTGTGGCTGGCTAAGATAGAATTTGATTGCAAAAATAAAAATCTTTATTTTTACTTTTAATTTGTCTGAATCAATTTGCATTTATAACATTTATAATACTAGCAAAACGAGTTATGGTTAAGGTTAAATTTAAGAGCAGGCATATTATACATAAAATGTTAAAGAATTTACATAACGATGACCCAGCAGAAAAGTGTATCAAATTGATGGATTTTGTTTACTAAGTAGGACATGCTTGGAGGAGTAATTCCCTGTGCTCCTGGCACCAAAATAAATAATCATCTGCTTATTGACATTGTACAGAAAAGCCACACTGTGAAAAGCCAGTGTGTGTAAAGGAGAGAGAGGACTCCAGAAAATGTATTCCAATAAAGGGAGAGAGTGCACTGGGCAATACCCCAGTGAAGTGTCTCTCAAGGTTTTGGAGGGTGCAGCCTCCTTTTATCCTAAACTCCTGACTGCATGTTGCTGTGTTCCTGTCCCCTCTGGCTGAGGTATTAGGAAAGCTTTGGCAATTGTCCATCTCTATGAATATATCAAGAGCAAGTGCTGGACTCATCACCTGGGATAGGGTAATCCTGTTTATATGTGCAAACTGGGGACTGAAGGAGTTAAAAAACACAGTTGCCTATCTGTTAAGGCTAAGGAAGCATTTGCAATAAGATAAACACAAAAAGAAGGAATTTGCAACAGGAAGGCTCCCATTCCAGGTCTGGTAGAGGCTTTATCTGGTTAGCACATCCTGGTCAATGCATCCAGACAAAATTTTCTGCTGTGGCAAGCTGTATGTGGAAGAAAGTGACTACTCGTACACATATCATTGGTCAAACAAAGATCACCCCATATTATGGACAGATGGTACCTGCAACCAACAAAAGCTCCTCAAAACCTTGGAGGAAGCATTCTCAGAAAGAGGACCTTGCTTCCCTCACTTTTGCATGTTATGAAGGCACACCTGACCTCACTTCACATGTAAATTAGGAACACGCCTCATTGATACTCAGAACTTGGACTGTATAAAGGTGGGACCACCAAAAGAATGAGTATCACCCCACCACCTAGAAGCCCAGGGTGCAAAAAGGGCCAACCACGTCCTGGGGTGGATATCAAGCACAGCACTTTGAGCTGTTTAAGGGAGGTGATTGTCCTGCTCTACTCTGTACTGATGCAACCTCGCCTCTGTGGGGAGAGTTGTATGTGAGTTTTAGGCACCTCAATGTAAGAGTAGCATCAAATTACTAGAGAGTGACCAAGATGGTGAATGGCCTCAGCTGTAATCTTATGAAGAGTGGCAGAGGCCACTTGATTTCTTCAGTTTGGAGAAGACTGAGGGGTGTCCCCATGGCAGTCTACAACTTCCTTGAGGCAGATGTCATGAATGAGTATTTTGGCTGCTTAAAGAATCATCACCAAAGTTATTAGTAAAAGAGGTTTTCATAAATATTTGAGAAAGGGTGGTTTAACAAAGTTCAGTGGCAAAGTTTGCTACCACGTAGAATAAGGCATATAAAGAAAACCTGGATCAGAACATATTTAAAATAATTATCACAGACTTTGGGTTACAAAAGGATGAGAGTGTTAAAGAGTAAGGAAGGCATTCCCATTGGGTCACAATATTCAGGATAGATCCCCTTGCCAAACTTAGCCTCAGGCTTACTCAAGGATTTTATGTCTAAAGGATTTAGGAGCACTTAATCATTATTTTAACTCTTAAAAAATTATTCAATAGAGTTTGCTATAAGCAAAGTAACTGAACCATACATCTAGGTTGGCACTATTCATACAGTATTTGCTCCGGGGTATCTAAAGCCAGTCAGGTGCTCAGACACACAGACAGAAGTCAACATGTACAAAGAGGTCAGTGAAATACTCATGTGGAATGCCTTTGCATCTCTCATCAGCCTGAGCCTTGAAGAGTGGTGTATCAACACAGGCCCCCTTGTCAGCTTTCAGAGACAGTCCTCCAAGTGTCAGTGTGAGAGCTGGCAGCTCTCACACTCTCTTAAGACTGCTGCTTACAGGGTTGCACAATGCTTGGCTTCAGTCATCTGTCAATCTCCAGGATGATTCAGGCAAGTAATGTTCCAGGGCTGTCAGGGCATAGCTGATTATCTCTTGTCCTTTGTTAGGCAACAGAACTTTCTGTTAAGGACAGTGCCTTCCCACCATAGTCATGCATGAGTTTCTGGTTAAGACTGAGGGAAGCTTCATTGCCTAAATCATGCCTCAGGGCTTAGTCCTAAAGAGAATTGCTGAGATTGTAGAGCAGCCTGAGGAGAGGAGGAATGCACCACCAAAGGGGCAGTGGAGGAGAAGGTGCTGATCTCTCTCTGGTGACCAATAATGGGAAATTGAACAAAGCTGTGTAAGGGGAAGTCCAGACTGGACATTAGGAAAAGGTTCTTCACTTTTGGCAATTTGGCCCAATGCAGTGTAATGCATATAATTGCATATAGGAAAGGGTGGCCAGTCAATGAACAAGCTTCCCAAGGAATTGCTTGTGGCTACAAGTCTGTCTGAATTCAAGGAGCAGCTGACAAAGAGCAACACTCTTTGTCATATGGTCTGGTTTTAGAAAATCCTGTGAGGAGCAAAGAGTTGAATTAGATGATCCTTAGGAGTCCCTTCCAATTTGAGATATACTATGACTCTGTCATCTGAAAATCAGCTGCCACGAAGTTGAATATCCTTTTCAGCATGCCAAATGGGTTTCAAGAGCCCGTGCAAATGAGGAATTAAAATTTATTTCTGAATTAAAACAGTCTCAATATCATGCTACCCCTTGCACACGTACCCACACCCTTACAGGCACTTCACAACTTCACGGCAGAGATATCAGGATTCTGTTGCAGCAGATGCACGTGGGATGTTCATTGTGTATTGGTTTACTTGTTTCCCAAGGCTTTATGGTTTCCTTGCCAGCCAGTGCCTGATCTTTTGGGTTTCCTTGACCTTTGCATTCTCCAGATTCCAAGGTGTCAGAGCATACCTACCAGCCTAGTGCTGTTGGTGTGGTACCCCTGCCCTTTCCTCCACTGTCAGGCATGGCCTTTCCTTGGTAAAGAATGTGCAAACAGGAACGGGAATACATTGAGTTGTGACCAGCATTCTGTGAGTCAAGTTATCTGCCCCCCATGCTGAATTTTCTCACCTTTTGTAAATGGAACTATGTTGTCAGATAACTTTACAATGGAAGTTGCTTAATGAAGAACTTTGGTTTTTTTAACTGATAAGATTCACCCAAATCACTCAAGCATTGTGTAAGATCATGTCCCCTAAAGATTATGCATTAGATAGGCAAAGATTATGCATGGGTTCATGTGAATTTTACCTTGTAAAAGAGATAATTTTTGTCCCTCTGTGTGCTTGATTTATGGAAACCTACACTTTGTACTCTACAGGAATCAGGTATACTGAGCCCTGGTGTGTGCCATGGCTGAAGTGTGGACAGGAGAGCACTCTGCAAAAGTAAAGGAGTCCATGACACATAACCACCATGAATTAATTAGTGGAAGGTGGTGTCAGGATGCTCTACTTGAAGGTTGATTATCTTGGTTTGAAAAGATAGGAGTTTGTGAAGGAAGGTAAGAGCTTTTTGTGAAATGGAGAAGATAAGCCCCCTCTCTCTGAATTATTACAATTTCAAAATTAAAAGGCTTTTAGGCAAAGATATGGGAATTGGAATATCAATTCTTTATTAGGGGGAAAAAACAACTCAATTTAAAAAATGTAATTAGTACAAACAAAATTACTGATAGAGTCAGAAATCTGAACCCTGAGGAGTTAGGGTGTTGGTAATAGTCCAGTTAAATAGTGGCTGCTTTTCCTGGAGTGGCAGATGAAATGCTACTGAAGCAGTGATTTGTGGAATGGTGTCGCTTTTTCTGAAGGTCTGCTGTTAGAGTTGATGGGCCTGGTCTTCCTCTGGGGATCAAGCAGGGAAAAAGCTGCTCCTCTGGGAATCCAGCAGAGAAGAAGCTGCTCTTTTGGGAATTTAGTAGAGAAGAAGCTGCTCTTTGGGGAATCTAGGGAAGGGGCTGCTCTGATGTCTCCAAAAATGCTGATTTTATGTAGGTAGAGATGCTTGGCTCCTCCCTCTGGGTGGAGTATCTCACAATGGGATGATGTAATTTTATTAGTCATGCAGTGAGTCATTTAATGGCTTATTAACAGAAGATATCTCCCCGGAGGGAGACATTGTTTTTGAAAGAGATAAGAAAACTGCCCAACCTCCAACAGATGGCAAATAGAATACATGCTTATCTTATAAACCAGGACATTATTATTCTATTTCTATCTGCATCAAATGAAATCTTATACCTAGTTCTCATTTAGGACAAGGTTTCCTTGTGGTACACAATGGGTTTACCCATCTTTTTGCATTACTCACTAAGTGTTACTAGGTCTTTGAGCAAAAACAATCCTATGGATGGGTTTGTCATTGCCTGAGGTAGGATTAATCTAAACAGTTTTTCTTAAAATACCTTTCATATGTACTACAGGGACTTTATCTCTATTTACTGTGTCCAAGGGTTTTGACTGGGCAGAACTAGCTTGGTTGATGGACCCTTGGGTGTTGACCATCTAAGTTGCTTTTGCCAGGTTAATTTTTCAGTTTTTGAGTGTTCTTCTACTAAGTGCTTTTAGGGTAGTCTTAAGGAGTCTGTTGCACTGTTTCACTTTGCTGGCAGTTGGAGCATGATAGGTAATAGGATATATTTATTCGATACTATGTTTTCTGGCTTAGTTGTTGATAAGGCTGTTTTTGAAATGGGTGCTGTTGTCAGACTCAATTCTCTTAGGTGTGTCATGTTTCTACAGGACTTGCACATAACCACCATGAATTAATGATTGGAAGGTGGTGTCAGGATGCTCTACTTGAAGGTTGATGCAAGTCCAGCAATTATATGCATTACACTGCATTGGGCCAAATTGCCAAGGTAACAGTGCTGGAAACACCAGGTTGAGAAGGAACATCAGGAGCAGCAAAATTAAGGTAAATTAGAAA